TTGCAGGTGTAACATGGCATAAGTTTGTGTTCATGAACAGCTGGACCAATCTTGTGTTGTTAGCTTTACTTTAATATCGAGGGTCAAGTGAATTGACCTATTTCAAAGTTAAAGTCTCCAGTGTCTGTTTAAATTTTTTTGCAATATTAATTTTTTTCCGTGGTATAATGCGATAGTTGTTAAATTGCAATATTTAACATTCTCATAAGCATAATCTGTAAAGTAAAAAATTCAACGTACAAACAGATGATATACAATCAAATAATAAATAAAATATATTTTTTTCCTCCGCATGGCCACATTAGTGTATAGTATAAAGTATTAAACATAATATGTATATATGATAATACACAATTATATATTATAATACATTTTGATTTCTATATTTGTATATAACTAGTTATATTACTAGTTTTTTCAATCTTGCAGTATAGTATTTATGTATTGAAGAATTTCAATGAAAAAATTCACTATTATTAATTCGTCTATACGAATATTTATATATTACTAACTATAGCCCGTAGCCGTACAAGGTACAACCAAAATTCACGGCTCGGCCGCAATTAAAAAACATAAAAGACGATGCTATATCAGTGATCATGACATCATGTCACGCGTATCTCGGTTTTAGTGTATGTGTATACCTCAGTTTACGAGAAAATAGGTATAGATCTAATCTATGGATCTAACTAGCTTTGTAATTTAATTTGACCGATATAGGCGATCCACCTGTGGAGGATTGTACATTGCACTTGGTATATTTTTGAACGTGATTTTCGAACTACACAACAAACTTTTCTGGTATGTCTAAAAACAATTTCCGAAACGTTTGTCACAATTGGATGAATAGTTATTGAGTCTATAAGACATAAGCTACAAATCTACGGGCATTGGCTTTTATTGTATATCGGAATAATGATCAATGAATTTAAATATTAAATAATATTTTGTTTAAAAAAAGAATCCCATAGCAATAACACACGCATGCGGGCAGCTAGTCTGAGTCAATTAAAAAAAAAATTGCATTTCTGTAAAAAATGGTAACTCTAATCCCTAATATGCCCTTACATAAACAAAACAATTATTCGATTGTGAAAAATATTTCTGTTCATAGTTTTACAAAAAAGTAATTGTAATTGGATTCATATTAATTTTGAATTTAAGATGTTTTTTTAAAAATTTATTTGTAACCATTTTTTATGCTATGTTTTTTCAAAGTTTAATAGTAATAATATAATCAAAAACCAAATGGTAACATTTAAATAAATAAAAAATATTCGATTTTCGTGAACTAAAATGAACTAAGCAATACTGTTAACACTGTTAACCATCCTATTACTATTTATAATAGGGACTGAAAAAATAAGCTATAGAGTATAACACCCTTCAATTCTCAAAAAATCTATTGGTGTAGCTTTTATTGAAAACGGTCCAGTAGTTTTTGAATCTATCGAAGACAAACAAAGAAACATTCATTTATACATAAATAGATATTATTTTACAAACACGAATAATATTATATTATGTTACCAATTATTTGGTTTCGAAATAATAATATACTCGATCCACGACCTTGAAATGGGCGAGACCTTGCGTGTATCGTGGACTTGACTCATGCGAAACACGCATAATAAATATCATGTACAATAATATAATCGCGGATCGATTGGAGACCACAGTATCACACATTTACGCATTAACGCGTAACCTATATTAAATTATCATTAATCATTATACATGCCGACTTTTTGGACGGCAGAATTAGAAACTAATAAATAATTTGTTATATTTAATAGACATTTGTGGACTCGCGCAACTACAGCAGTACAGCTGCAACTGTTGCATCCGAAAATCAGTGTGGAAAATTTAAGACATGGGGACAACAACGAGACATCTCCATATTTTAGTCAAAATTAGTTTTTGATTGCACATTATGAAGACAAAAATTCACGTCTATTGGTGCAACAATACCAGACAAATACATATAAATATAAATACATAATACAGAGATGTCTCAATATCTGGTTTTTATTTTAATGTAACAACTAGACCAGGGATTCTCAAACAATTATAAACCCTGTATCCTTTTTTATCAATACATTTTGTTGAGTACCCCCTTCTTAGTTACTTTTAGTTAAACTAATATATACATAAAAAAATGTAAAGACTTTTAAAGAATTTTTTCCTTGTTGGTTTGTTGGCCAGACTCGTACCCCTTAAAACATTTCGAGTATCCCAAGGGGTACGCGTACCACAGTTTTAGAATCCCTAAACTAGACAGTAGACATCTACAAGTTTTAATTTTTTATTTTTGAGATGGTATAAATTTGATTTTGAAAATTTGTCACTGACAATAACTAAGGTATACGAATTGAAGTTGGACCTAAGTTTATATTTTTTGTTAATTGTTGAAACCTTTTTTTAGTGCCTCCTGAAAAATCGTATTAATTAGAGATGCCTAATATTGTTGCACGTCATCTTTAGTTATTAATTATTATATATTCGTCATCAGGATAAAGTTACTATACGTTAACTACACTATAATATTATATAATTTATATTAAGTGTATTACTCAATGTTCTGCACTTCTAAAATAGTGAATAGTAAATTCTTTGTTACTAGCCACTGAAATGCGATAGAGACATATTATAATATTATATTATATTCAATTATAATCTCATTACCTATATAGTCAGTAGTCGCAGTATAATTATATTTTAATAATATTTTATGTACTGATAAGTGATAACTTATACATAATATATCGCATTTGCTTGTATCAAAATAGCGGTGAGATAGGGGACACCCCCCTCCCTCCCCCCAAAAAACCATTGTTTATTCCACCACATTGGAACATTAAAAACACATAAATAAGACAATATCTATCTCTATACATCAATATGTTTAGCCCCCTCCTCCCAAATCTCAAACGCTTTACTTGCGCCTATGATTTCATACCTACAAATTACAATATCACAGAATAGATTTAATATAAACGTGGTTTTTGGTTTATTTAAATAACAATTAATATCTGTAAAATCCATACATTAAACTTAAATGTGACGATTAATATTATTATTTTGAAATACTTTCATATAAAACTGTAAAAGTAAAACAATTTTGAACGGAGTTTGTTAAGTAATAATTATTCATACACCTTACATAATTACATGAATAATAAATATTAATAATTCCATATTTAAATCACAACAAATATTTATCAACTGGAAGATATACTCTACACTTTTACATCATAATGTTACCTACACGTTCTTATATTGTATATTCTTATAATTTGTATACATTCAACACATTTTATAGTTAATAAAAAAATTAACAAAATTATATTTTGTAACATTTAATTAAATATGTGTGTAAACACTATAAATTCAAAAAAAAATGCATAAGTCACTGACTCATTCGATTTAATTTTTATTTCAGCCTGGATTTCAGCACAAATGTAACACTATTATTTCAAAACTTTTTCTATTGATACACAGTTTGTTTATTTGTTGTGCAGATTGGGAATTCTCCTTGTTTTGTTCCTACATATTTTTCTTTTAAATTATCAAAATAAATGTAATAGCAATGAATGTTTTAAATAATTTGGTTTTCTTGTATTACAAAAATAAAATAAAATAAATTTGCATTCCTAACATTTCAAATAATAATTTTTTTTTTAGTTGTCTAAGGTTAAATTGTGTTGTGTGACAATCTCGTTTTTAAAATGTATTAACTGAATTAATCTGTCCAGTATTTATTATTTATTTGTATATTTTTAAAAGTAGACCAATTTTCAAATTAATTGAACTTTAATTAATACAATTTGGCATTTGCTGTAATTAGTTTGTATAACTTGAAAAAGAAGAGAAATAGTTAACCCTATAATTTCACTAGCTTTATTGGTCTTCAGAATTTACTCCAGGTTGGCAGGTTATGAAAAACTATTTTAACACACTGACACGTTTAGGGACCGTCAACATACCATACGTACATACTACATAGGTACTAATATACTTACTATTGTTTATTCATCAAATAAAAACACTATTAATTGAAGGAATATAAAGTTCTACATAGGGGATTTCCAGCACATAATAAAATGGGTATTCTTTTCTCTTTGAATAAGATAATAATGTACTCACGGTATAGCCCATATAAAGGGACAATATTGTATACTATGTGAGCAAACATAAATTTGCTGCCTCTTTTTCAGTATTATTGATATAGTTATGAAATTTGGTAAGCATAACTATGATGGGTAGGTATATATAATATAATTCTGATATACATTATACACCATTGTATAAGTATACATCATATTTATTGAACTTAATATATAACTATTTATTATATTAAAACATTATTGACTTTTTTTGTTGCCCTTCAATGTTTTTCCTGCAGCCAAATGCATGCTTCTTTTGGACCCATCTGCTTCTTCTAAGTATAGAGCTAAAGATTGTTTTAAATTTGAAACCAAAGATGAATTAGTAATTGTTAAAAATATACGTTTTTTTTTTTTATTTTTACAAGAAATTTACAATCTGTTCTTAACTAGAACAATAAACAAATGTGCATAATGGTATTTACATATGAATTTTTTGAGGGAAGAAGCTACCCATTGGTGACACTACAATAATATAAGTTAAGTCTTAAGGTAGCACAATTATTTTTGGAGTTGCAACTAAATAGTAAATAACTAAAATCAATTTCTTACAAATTCAATATAACTGTTTTTTTTTTTGGCAGTTTATGACAACATTTGGAAAAAACTAATGAGAACTTCGGAAACTGGGAAACCTATCTCTAAAAAACCCAGCCAACCTCAAATAAGTTCAAGTTTTTCAATACCGAATTCAGTAATCATAAATGCACCACCTTAAAATACAAAATAAATTTTGAATTTATTAATTCCAGGTTTTTTTTGCATTTTATTGCTGTGTTTTGTAACGGTTTTTGGGAGACGTTTTTCCCATTTTCCCACCCCACCATTCACCAAGACGACATTGCGATTCATGAAGTACGAGCAACGGCCAGCGGCTAGCAACTAGCTGAGCACTCGCTTCACCGCTTTCGAACATGACGGTACTGCGTGCTTTTTGAAAAATTCGATCTTGTTTGCCGTTGAAATTGTTCGTTTGTCTAAAATGTACGCCGCTTATTGATCATGTTATCGCCGGTCGATACAGAATCCGATTAAAAAATATGGACACCATCATGGCTGTATTGAGGTCCACATGTACTCTAAATAACATTGCAATCGTGTTTAAAGAATCAACAACAAATTTGGATACAGAAGAAAACTTAGATTTTAAATTATTGATTTATAGTAAGATACACAATTGAGTTTTCCAATATAACATCATTATTTTTCCAATTATTTTCATAATGTATACAAAACCTTGTTTCAGATGCTAACCACAGAATAGATTAAATGTGCTAACAACATAAATGGGTTTGACGAGCAATAATATGAAGATGATGTAAACGGGGTTACTCAAAGAGCTCAGATGATCAACAATTATTTTGGGCGATTATAAATTAGAATTTATTGGTTAAGTCTTATCTGTGACATTAAACAAATAAATCCAAGAATTGTATTACATATTATATTTAAAATACTTACTTAATATTTTAACTTTTTTTAAATTAAATTTCAATTTCTATTGATTGTTTAGGTTTCCCAAAGATTAATCCAAACGATCTTTATGGCTTATAGCTAGTATTTTTTCTAAAGAAGATTTTTTGCCTTTTAGGAAACTTTGTGCACTCCATTTTGACAAAGATTATTTCAAAGCTGAAACTTAACTGAACATTTTAAAACCAAATTTAGTTCCCACAAAGTTTGAAAAATGATGAAAAGAATCTTTTGAATCAACATATGTTAGTGTATATAATGATATTTAAGTGAATATTTTAAAGTATAACTAAAAATTGCAGGTCCTTGAGTAAAATGCCCGAGTTACTGACATACCAAATTTGCGAGCAGCCTGCTTCAACATAAAACAGTGAAATGGACACTTTTCAAATGAATGGTTGTTAAAAAAACCTATAATGGAATGGATTAACCTATTATAAAACTTAAAGGTATCTATCAAAGAGTAGTTTATGGCATAGCATAGGCTTTTATTGATATTTAATTTTTAAGAGAGTTTTAAATATGTAATATATTATAAGTATAAATTATCGTATCTTGCTTTAAAGCTAAATATCAAATAAATCCCAATAAGATATTGTAGAATCTAGATAGTATTCTAACCTAAGTTTTATAGTAGGTTCACTATAAAGTTAAATTTTGTAACAAAATTGGTTTATTTTTTATAATTATCTTTTATACAAACCTTTAAAATTGTTTGATTTTAGATACTCCTAACCGAAAGCCGCGGAAATATTTTTTAGGCGATAGAACTATTCCAGATTTTGCCTCTGAGAAAAGCTCAGTATCAAAGTATTCAATGATGAAGAAAATTAAATATTTAAATTTAAAAGTAAGCAGACTCCGCAAAAAGACTTTCATCTATGGCAGATTAAATTAACCAAATGAAGAAAAAAAATCTCCTAACTGAACAATTTAAATAATACCATTTTGGTAGATTTCAATGGAAATATGAATGGTAGCGACTAGCGAGTTGGAAGTGTAAGTTACTAAATAATGTTTAAGGGGCCAGTATTAATTTGTTAAATCCTCTGTGATTGTTTATAAATGTTATGATAAATAACTATTTGTTGATCAGTGTATCAATATATTTTAAAACATAATATAATTTTTTATTTTTAAAATCTTGTTGTGATGTGTTTAATTATGTATAATTGTGTTATAATGTGTGTTAGCTTTGATAATTTAGTCTACAAATATGTCTTACTAATATAATACTAAATTAATTTGTAATTAATATAAATACATTAATACCTATTTATATAAGTACCTATTTTATAAAGTACAGGATTAAGTATACTAAAAATGGTTAAAATTAATATTTTAACAGACTATAGACAGCAACACTATATTTGGAATATAAAGTGCTAACTTCTGCTCTAATAGAATTAAATGTATGTTTTTGATGTCAAAAAATAAAAATAATAATTCAGCAACTAACGCTATTGTTTTCCCACATTTGTATACAACATTTATGTACAAGCTTAGATTAGATTTTTTTTTAATTATATTATATTATGTACATTGGATGAATATTATTTCTAAATTTGCTTGTTTGGTCCTACTTTAATGACATTTTTAATTTTAAAAAAACTTTATTTTTATTGTGCTTGAGACTTGCTTTTTCTTTAAACTGCATTCTTTATTTCTCATCTGTGAAAGAATTTTAATATTTTCTATGTGATATTGATATCAAATTATCATTAATATATTATTTGATTAGATACTATACCTACCTAGACTATAATTGAATTTATTCATAATGAGTATTTTGAACTGTTTTACTATTATAGTACACTGCAGAACCTATATAATATTATGGAAGTATAAATTATAAAGATTTTCAAATTTAATTACATTATCTCTTAACGTTTTTAATTAGGAGTCTAGTTAAATGGAATGTCACATATTTTAGTTCTCAGTTGGTTAAATATACTATATTAAATAATATCTATAGGCTATAATATAGTACAAAGGTACCTACCTAACATATTTTTATTAATAATTGTAGTGTCCTACATAAATACATAATATGGCTCATTTTACTGACAATATGAAGAATAAAAATATTACATAGAAAGATCATGAATATAATACATTATTATTTATTTGAGAAAACAGAGAGTTTAAGACTTAATCGCTGAACAACTAGATACTTCTCTAGTTCTCTTATTTATTTAGTATGTTTGAATCACAGACACACCTATAATACGTTAGCGGTTTGAATGTTTCTATTGAAGCGGACAAAAACAACATTAAAGTAGACTTCTTGCAGTAGATACAATAGTCAACTATATATCCGGTAGATGGCGTGGAAACACATGGTCTTTAGAGAAATGAACATTTTTATTAAAAATGCAATGATTTTTTCTTCATAAGTAATAGACATCTTACATTCGAATATGCAATATGTGTTAATAATACAACGAAGTGATATATGCTTTAATCACTTTTTTACTTATACCAAATATAATGTATTTTGGTTATGCATATTCTGAGAGTTCTCATAATGTTATGCTGCATGTAAAGTATACTTATGCTTCTCAAAACTAATTGTCAACCAACTCCGGTTCCCTTTCAATACGAAAAAATCTTTCGCCTTTTACTAAAGATTTCCGTGGAGGGGAGCACTCAAAGGAGTCTAGAAATATTAATTTTTTAAGATGCCTGACTTCGGTCGGGCCCATAATGAACAACGAACATGGTTTGAAGACCCTTTTCAATAAAGTAATCTTACGTAGTCGTATTTGATTTACATGTACTGTGCTCTTGCTTATTTCATTACGGAATTGGATATTAATCCTCTCTACTTATTTACTTCAATTTGTTGAATGACTATAAAATGGCTATAAAAAAAAGCTGTTTCTCTTTAGAACACAGAATTTTGTATGTTTTGTCACCCAGTATGTTTTTCTTATTATATCCATTGGTTGATAGAGCTAAAGTCAACTAATCTCATATCATATTTATATGACAGACAAAATAATGTAAATTAAATGCTTGAGACCTGGAACTTTTAAATTGCTTTAAACTTTAAATTGTGATGTATATTAAATATGTTTTCTATCTATTAATTATCCATATTCATAATAGGTAGTTCATTCTATTTTTTTTTTGGTTTTTACAATTAACACCTTGGTATGTCCACTCACCCATTCCAGTTTTCAGTTGAGTTTAATCAAGTATGAAACAATCTCAGGGTAAATGGTTAACATACTTAATTTGTTTTAATTAATTTAAATTATTAATTTTATTAGGTTAGAGTCACTTAGAGATGGCATATCTAGATCTGAATGAGTTATTGCAACTCATCTAATTGCACAAAATGTCCAGCATCTTAATGAACAATAGGACTTCTTGATGTTTTTGAGAACTAACGGTCTCCGTAATGATGGATATGTTCAAAGGTAAATTGTGGACCACATGCGCAGCCATGAAGAAAGCCATTACACTATAATTTAATCAATATTAATGTATTATATTTAAGTTATAATTATTCATAATTTATTTAAATTGTTTGTACTGAGTCATATTTGTAATTGTTAAATAAATGATGCAGATATCATATTTTCTTTATAATATTACCTCAGTGGTATTATGTATTATGTAGTAAGTATTTATTTTTATTGTTTTATATTAAATTGTAATTTGTTTAAAAAATTTAAAAACTGTTCTATTCAACTAATTTCTTAATTGTATCAAGTGACATGTATTATATTTTCCTTGTACCACCTAGGGTGGTAGTAGATATTAAGTACCCATTTTGTTTTTTTATTGTTTTGTATTAAATCCTGTTTTGTTTTAAATATTTTTAAATTGTTGCATTTAACTAATTATTAACATGTGACATAAGTATATTACTCAGTACTCACCTTCTACTGTTACCTGGGTGGTAACTAAAAACATTTAAAAATCTATTAAGTAATAAATTTGTATTGTTTTCCAATATAGCTAATTAGTTTATCATTACTTATTGGTCTTCAAGTACCGACTGGGTTTGAAATATTCAAATATTAGATAAAACTGTTCAATTACCGGTATATTACAACTTTTTGAAATAAATTAATTTTGCTAAAATTGGTTTGATCAAGTATTCTATTAAATTTAAATATGTGTTTATTATAAAGTGAACAGATCCAAGTAATTAATTTATCCATATATTTTGGAGAATAAATTAATAATACTGAATTTATGGATGAAATATGAAGTTCCACTAGTTCTTAACTGGACTGGTTACCTTATGTTTTGTCAGGTATTATCTATATATAGTACTTAATTATCTTAAAATCAATATTGTGATTAAATATCCTATTACAAAATTGTAACAACAGGAATTAAGGGTGATCTAAACTTATGTTTAGTAATCCAAAACTAGGTAGGTACCTAATATATTATATAAACAATGTTATAGTTATATAATAAAATAATCTATTTACAGAGTATTTTTTCAGGCATGCTTACTCTATTTGTATGCTTAAATTATGCATGTATTCAAATTTCTGATTTTTAGAATTTTTAAAAACACTTAAAGACCATATTTTGAAAACTTGAAATTACTACCACTCAAAAATGATCCTGTAATAATACAAATTTCTGTTTTTCAAATAGGAACCACCTTATTCACTATTTATTATTTGGTAGACATTTTTGTTGTGAATTTTGATCAAAATTCAAGTGAGTAGTTTTTGAATGACATAACTTTGACTTTTGAGTATTATATCAATGGTCATGGGTTATGTAACTAGGGGGATTAGATGATTTTAATTGGTCAATGTTTAATAAACACTACATTTCTACATCTATTAAGTAATGTTACATTACTTTATATATTTTTGTAAAGCCATATTTAAGGATTATTATCCGTAGTAGTTAGTATAATGATTTTAATAACTCAAAAACTATTGATAAGAATTTTGAACTAGATATGTATAAACTTTCAAACAAATCGTCCAATAAATAATTTTCAGTAAAAAAAATAGGTTTTCATTTGTAAAATAGAAGTTTGTACCTCACAGGACATTACTTAAAAAGTAGGTACCAAAAATAACAGAAATTTGAAAGTATGGTCTTTAGGTATACATAAAAATCCTAAAAATTAGAATTTCAATAAATGTTTTATTTAGGAAGAAAATGAAGGTGTGCATCGATAGGTTTCAAGCAATACTTTGAAACATTAATGTTTTAACGGCTAGTATTATACTCACGTCAAGTAGGTTAGTAGGTAGGTCGTAGGTACTTAATGGTCGTTTGGCAACCATATACTATAGAGGTAATGAGGTATGGTGAAAAAACCTTTTATTCGATTCAACATCAGCTTGTACGTTGTAATAACCCCATCAGAAACATATTGTTTGGTGTTACTTTCGAAAAATTATTATTTTTAAAACCATACAAAATAAAATAAACCAATAACCCTCTGTAATTTGTATTGTTATGACACGAATACATTAGAATTAAACATTAATAAAATAGGTAATAAAATTACCATGGTTCAATACCTATAAAAAGTATAGTATATATAGTATAGTATAGTACGTAAGTTACATAGGGTATATGTACATAGTATGTACATAAGTAATGATTATTAATTCTGTTATAGAATATTATAATTTATGATAGTAATTACTATTCATTCTTTTTTTGTGGTTAGGCATATTTAGGACCCAAGTACCTACGCAACTACTAGCACATAACAATGCTAGTAGGTAGGTATGCAAACAATGTTTTTATTTTGACACTCAATTGACTCATTTTATATATTTTATTACTTGATAAATTGTAAAAAGATTAATGTAACGTACAGTAAAAATAAAAATGCACCGTTATTGGTATTATATTGGTACTTAATACATGATATCTCGAACACTGACACTGAGAATACAAAATAAAACATAAACAAGATACAAGACACTCCTTTAAGAACTCACAAAATGGCAATAATGGTGCAGATCACTGATCACAACAGTATAATAACTAGGATTAGTAATTAGTATTAAAGTGTAATTTATAATTTGAACTATATAGTAAGGTACAACACAACCCACAGCCCACAAGGTATAGTATTTAATACACACTACAGTTATACTTATATTATTGGATTCAAGATTAACATAGGTATCTAATACCTATTTATTGTTGTTATTATGCAATTCAGGATAGGTAAGTTAGGTTATACTTATAATTATGCGAATATGATAATGTAATGCCCATTAACTTTCAGCAAGTATCATTCAATCATTGTGTGTGCCTCAATCATTATCCAGTTGGTTATATACATTTGGTACATTTCATAAATGCTTTTGATTAGAGATTTAATATTTTCAGTCAATTTTACATAAATTGTAATAATCAAAATATCGACTTCTTCAATAATGATCTTATCGTCTTGAAATTGAGTTAAAACAAATTTACGAACTAGAAGTTGATCAAGGGGTCCTTCGGCTTCGATCCTTGAAGATTTCGTAAGGATAGAATTTATATTGAAGAATTTGAGTTTTCTTTTTGATTCTTCGAATTCGTAATATATTTAAAACCTAAACACTTCAATATTGCTCGTATCGTCTTGAAATCGTCGAGAATTGACGTAGTCACTTCTCTAGATTACATTTCTGTTCTGAAAAAATTCCGGTATCGATCCAAAAGTTAGGAAAATTGACAATACAAAATTTCCCGCCTTTTTTTTGAAAAATTCACATTTTATAACACACCATTTACACCTGAATAATTGAGTCAAAAATGTTTTCCTAAAACTATTCCAAATGTTAGAAGGCTATTCGGTAAACTATTTAGCAAGAGTACAACATTTTCGTATATTCAATGCGCCAATGCCTCGAACAGACGAACCAAGCCTTAATGGTTTACGAAAGAATCGTAGAAATATTGAATTGCAGTAAAATTGCCTATACAAAACACCTTTAATACTGCATGTTATTAATATTAATATACATTAATAATCTAATAAAATACCTAATCTATTCACTATTTTAAGTCTACTATATTATAAAAATAGTGTTTTTTTCATTAACTTTTCAATAGAAGTATCAAACAATTTTTATACATTTAACATTTTAAATACAAAAAAATTAATAAACTATAAAGTGGGTAGTTAAAAAAATGAATTAAAAAAATTTAAAGTGCAAATCGAAAACATCATAGGTAAATGAGTTAAACATATTAAAATTATATGATGCATTATACAACACAAGCCGATGGCGTCTTCTAGGATTAAGTTTTCAACTTCATAAATTATTTAATAATGTACAATATACATGCATGTCATCAGTTTGTTCTTGCTGTCAAATAGTAAAAAAAATTGTTCCAACAGACAATTGAACATTAGAGCTAATTCGAGATGACACAAAACGGTTCTAAACAGTTTCTGAACTGATTCGCTGACCTGCTGGAACAATCCCAATTGTAAGTGTTTAATATATTCATTTGTATATTTCATTTGAACAATACGCAGAATAGTCTCTAAAATAAATTGTTCTCACCGATTGCCAGTTTGTATAGAAAAAGTAAATTCGTTCTAAACTACAGCTTGTAATAATTGTTACATATTTAGATCCTTTCTGCAGGTTAGTTATTAGTCTTCAGTATTATGGCTCGACCAGTCTTTGAATATGCAACAGAATAGGCCACAGGCAACAAGAGCCCACCCATCTATCTTTGTGAGCACGCCTAATTTGTATGTTGATATTTATTTTGTGTTGTAACAGCTTGTATACGAGCTTTCTCCTAGATGGGCCCAAAGCCCAAAACCCAAAACCTCAGAGATATTCAATCTAAAAGTGTTATCGTCCTAGTTGATAGAACCTATACTTCCAGAATATTACAATTTTGAAAAGTTGGAATTAAAATAAGTTGAAATTGTATACAATATTCTATAATTCTAATATGCTATTGTTACTAATATTAGTTTCTATATAATTAAACTATTTTGTCGATCGCATGCGTACCTATTGGCTATTCGTCTTCTACGAATTAAATCGGAGGTGTAAATTGTTTTCAATAGTTAAAACTTTGAAGGTACAGTATTACTAAATCATTTAGGGTACTTTGAAACTGTTTTAACTGAAAAATACAATATTTTATTTCGAATCCAGATTTATCGAAGAAACTGTCTTAGAAAATGAAGTCTAGTAAACGCTGTTGTTTACATCTAAAACGTCATGATAATACGTATTATAATATAATATATTACTAAGATTACAGTGTTAAATATAATATTATGATTAATATACTAAGGCATTTTTTTTTTATTTGTTAATTAAATGATGTAAAATGTAATATTATGAATTTTCATATAATTAATACATATTTTTATTTGTAAATTAATAAAATAAATATTTCTAAATGTCTATATTCTAAATGTTTCAAATCCACATTTGGAATAAGTGTTTTGTAGAACAAATATTCATGGAACAAAGTTTATTGGCACAAATGTTTTCTGGAACAAAGATTCATCGGGATGTGGAGCAAAAGTCCAATCGTCCAACGGAACAAATATTATGTGGAACAAAAGTTAAAATTTGGATCTCAAATTTTTTTGGAACAAATATATTGTGGTACAAAAATATTTTGGAACAAAAGGTAGTGATCCAAAAAAAATTACTTTTGTTCCAATAAAATGATGATCCATGTTTTTTAAGATGCACAAAATAATTGTTCCGAGAGATTTTTTTCCACAAAATATTTGTTCCGAAAGATCTTAGTTCCGCAAAAAATTTGTTTCAATGGACTTTTGTTCCACAAAGTACTTGTTCCACGTTTGGAACATGTATTTTGTGGAACAAAAGTCCATTGGAACACGTGTTTTGCGGAACAATATATTATGTCCCCGTCAGTAGTGCGTTTTGAAACACGTTTGCGCAGGGTGAAGTTGATAGTTGATATTAGAATATTATGTCAAATCCTCTTCTAGTCTTTTGTTCTCATTCTGGTTATTCTCGTTATTTTGATATTCCTGACTTGTGGCAAATTCTCTTTGTGCATTAATTGTGTACAGGCAATAATTGATTAATAATAAATTGTAAAATATAATTTAATTTTTATTTGCGCACGGTGTAGTGGTCATCCCGATTGCAATTTATCGTCGATAATATAAATTGTCGACACCGTATGATATCGGCCGAATTATGATAGTAATAATTATTGATAACGTTGTTCGTACATATTTTATAAAAGACCATTTTTTAATCTCTTTACCATGACTAAATGCTCTTTACCGTGTGTCTACAGTTTAGTTTATAATAATTTTTTATTATAGGTACTCAATACTCATGCTATGAATATATACACATTATAATTTATATTAAACTAATACAGTTTGTTTGACTTTAAATTATTGGTGGAACGTTTTTAAAAATTCTTAGAGTTTAAAGTGTATTTTAATAGTTCTCTGATTTAACCAGAAAATGTGATAGTATTATTAAAATAACTTATATTATAAAATAAAAATCTACTTAAACGTCTTCATCACCATGCCGCCAATGAAACCTTTTAGAATTAACAAGCAGACTGGGCCCAAAGGTAATATTTCAATTTGTGTTAATGTTAATCCTAGTATTGATTCCAATTTTTTTTAATTTTGAATTATTATTTTTCGAAATATATCCATTGCATTCAGTATATAGTATGAAAATTATATATAGATTTTTCCATTTTGAACATTAACTTATTCTATATTTATCTAGATTGTTTTTATACAAAATATTCCTGTGCATGATAGGTAATAGTCTTATCACAGAAATAATGAATTATTATTTTTAAACTTTTAATAATCCATACAAATTATTTTTAGTTATGGCAATGAAAAATAATATAAGTAATAAAGATAATATAAAATATAGCTGCTTTTAAAATATATATATTTATAAGTGTTATAATTTATAATTTAATATTTTAGACAAAAATAAAGGACCTAGGCAGCAGTCTAAATCATCTTCATCTAAGAGTAATCGCGACGATGATGACTTTTTTTTGGATAATGGGGGACCATCAAATATGAATGATAAACAAAAATCAAGATCATCTCATCCACCTCATTTAAAAGGACGAGATATTGGTATTATATAGTTTAACTGGACTACCTATAATTATTATGTTACAATTATGTATTGCTGCGGTTCTTAACCTTATGTGGAACACGAACCCCCGATGAAAGATTTTTAGAAATCACGGATCCCCCAACAATTTTCTCATTATGTCCCATGTTGACTTATGTTAGGTGTTAAGGTTGCCTTGGAACTACGACATGAGTATTGCAGACACACAGGGGGCTACAGACCTCAGGTTAAGAACCGCTGATGTATTGCATTAATTTGATATGATGTTTATTAATTATTAAAGGCTTGTGGCATGCTCGTAAACAAGCAAGTATGCGAGAGGATGAAGAAATGCTTGATATGACTAGACCTAAAGTTAAGCCACCTTCTCATTTAAGAGGTCGTGAATTAGACATGTGGCATAAGGAACAAAATCGATTATGGCAGAAATCCAAAAAGAAAGAACAACAAAAAGAACTCGGAAAATGTGTAAGTTTTATTAAAAATCATCAAAATTTTAAAGCTTAAGTTTTGCTATATAAAATTATTATTTTTTAGTTTATTAAGCTAAGAATTGAAGGAATTGGTCGTATGGAAATGCAGTTTCAACAACTTGAAGAAGAATTGCCGATTCCCGATGAAAACATTAAACCAATCCCATGTGTTATACCAAATTCCAAATTGAATACAAAAGATTATAGAAATCATAAGTAAGCTTACTTAGTGCTTTACATATTTTGTGTTAATAATATTTTAATTTTTGTTACTTATGAATTAATGAAGTTATAGAGCTTTAAATCTTTTGACTTTAAAAGATGAAGATGTAGATGAAAACGCCGAGTACATAATAGATAGATATAAAAAACTGGAAGATTCAAGTTTCAAAAGAAAATTTTTAGATAAAATTACTGGATCTATGGAAGAAAATCTTGTTGCATCTATTCAAAGTAATATGGTATGTTCAAAGTTTTTAAGTTTTAATTAACCTATTAGTTGCCAGAATCCATTTGATTACACAAAATATATCCTATTCCTGATTGCTGCAAAATGTGCTTCTTTCTACATTATAATTTGTCAAACATCTACAGACTTAGTATATTCTATATAATTTTTTTACTCTTTACCATAACAATGAAATTCATTTTAATTTAATGGTATAGAGCTAGGGGTCGGTTACCTAATTATTAGAGCCAAAAACATACAAAAATATCGTATTTTGATATCAAACCAATTTTACTGATATCGATGTGACTAATTTATTGAAAGTACATAGATATTCAATATCATTTCATAACAGTTTCAATTTTATATTTAATAAGTTTTGACAGTAAATCAATAGCACAGAATGTTGAGCAATACTTTTTTGAGTTATTTAATAACTTATAGTTTGTTCATAAAGTATGAAAACTTTTTTTTAATGTCTACAATTCCAAAAACATTTGTCAATAAATGATCTAAGTAGTATCATCGTAGGTAAATCGTTATCGATAATTGTAAACATATCTTTGTGCATCATAAGTAAGCATAATTTTTAATTTTGTAGGAAAAACATGATCAACAAATTGCAGTTTACAGTTAAACATTATACCAAAAAATGTAGAGTATTGTGCATAAAGGTAATGAATACTAATGATTTATGAATTACTGGTTTTACATCATCATAGATTACAAGTCCAATAATATTCTCCTTATGGATTATTTTTATTTTTATATAAATTATAAAAGTATTATGTGGTCCACAAAAGGTGCAGGTGGTCGACCCCTGATTCTCAATACAGTACATAATAAAAACATTTACATCATTACTCAACTTATTAATGTTTTTTAAAATCTAAACCTATTAAAGAAGATAAAATAATTATTTGTTCCAACTATAATGCATAGCTTCATAATATGATCTAGTAATGGTATATAGTATTAGAAGTAGTAGTTACTTACATGGTTACTTTAGAGGAAATTACATCCGCATGCATTATTTCTGTTTTACTAGTAGTTAAGGTAGCAAATTGTGCCCTCTGAATAATCCATTTAACTCTTAGAGTGTAACAATAGTAGTGAATAAAAAGAAAATAAAACTTATCAAATTAACGATTAAGAATATAGTCTATACTCCATTTCATTAAAAGGGAACCTCAGCATTGACCGAATTTCATAAAACAGTGGTCAGGCAACACCTGTTTGTCACCCCTACCGTTTCAACCACCTGTGTTGTTAAGCCATGCCCCTGCATTTAAATCGGCCCCTGAGGTTCCTTAGCGTGAATGGAGTATAGTAACTTGAAGGTTTTTTTTATATTTTAATTTTAAGATGCTCATAACTTTTTTTAAAACTGAAAAAGAAAAACCACCTATGAGAGTCACAAGATAATATTTTTACTTTTAAATTTTATAATAGGTTATACAATCTAATATTAATTAAACATAACAAGTTAAATCAACTTTTCAGATTTCAGAACTTACAATTTGCTATGTTTTAAGATTGTAAAATGGATATATTGCATTTGGGTGTAGAGTCCTCTTAAGAACTTTAATAGTACCAGTTATTAAAACTTGTTGAGTTATTTATGAAAAACATTAAATTTACTTAACTTATGAATATTATACTTTTTAATATTAAAAACAATGCTCATATATTATAATATGTTAATATAACATAGTATTATAAATATATATATTTACTTCTTCTTCTTAGCCTTATAGCGGTCCATTTAAGACCATCGTTGCTTCCAACATGCTGTCTACCTTTCTCTATCCAACGTCGCTCACGTATCCAGCAACAGATTGATTTTCTTCAAATATCTTTCAGTTTTCAACAGTATTGAGCTATCTCTGCTGAGGCCTGCCTCTTGGTTTTTTTCTCCTGGGATTTTGTTAATTAGTGAGTCCTTTGCTTGCCAGATGTGTTCCACCCACTCCAAACTTTTCCTAAATAGAAATGTCATAAACTCGGCATGTTGTATGGCTGCTGTAGGTCGACATTTATTCTTTGGTTATACTTATTGTTGATAAAAAAAAAAAATAATAATAATAATCTATAATTATATCTTTTTAGAAACTTCAAAATGATGAATCCAAAAATGCATTTTTAAGAAATGAACTTGAAAATAAACGTAAAAGTACTAAATATAGATCTATGTGTGAAATCAGAAAAAAACTGCCTTCGTATAGTAAAAAAAATGAAATTTTAGAACTCATCCGTATGAATCAAGTTATATTGATAAGTGGTGAAACAGGTTATTATTATTATAATTAATAACTATCAATACTTCTATTAAATATAATTATATACAGTGTTGGCCTGGCCAAGGCAAATAGGCCGCAAACGTGGTTGGGACCCCTCCATTTTTATTTGATTGACATGTTCCTGCTCTATAATAGGGTTTAAGGACCTCGTAAAGTATTTATGAAAATATTAAACCGTACATAATGTTTAGGTGCAATTTTTCTTTATTCAGCCCAGGGCAGTCTTGAGAATTTTTGGAGTCCAGGGTAAAGAAAAATTGTTTTAACAAAATGTTATGTAATTTTTTTTGAGCTTTTGTATTTTATTATTGGGCTCCTTAAAAAACTGATCCATGGGCTTTTGTTGAGCCAAGCTGACACTGATTATGTATTTATACATAAATAGTTTTATATTTTATAAATAAATTATTTGTAGGTTGTGGTAAAACTACCCAAATGGCACAATTTATTCTTGATGATGCTATTATGTCAGGCCGTGGTTCAACATGTAGAATTGTTTGTACTCAACCAAGAAGAATCAGTGCTATATCAGTGGCTGAACGTGTCGCTGATGAAAGAGCTGAGCGTATCGGAGAAGCAAGTGTTGGTTATCAAATTAGGCTCGAAAGGTATGATACATTTTATAAGGTCTATTTTAATGTATTTGTATAAGCTTGGGTATACTAAATAATACAGATGTATTAATTTATTAAAAATGATTTATTCTTCAAGGTAGTTAGGTAGTTATAATATTAGTAAATAGAAAATAACTTAATTTCTTAAATAATATATTATATTTTAGGAAACTGGGTCGTGAATTTGGATCTATATTGTTTTGTACTACTGGTATTTTACTTCAACATATCCAAAGAGATTCAGCTTTAAATTATTACTCGCATATTATTATTGATGAAATACATGAACGTGACACCATTAGTGATTTTACATTAACTATTCTCAAGAGCATCATACCTGTTGTAATTACACACATATGCACAGTTTTTGTTTAAATTGTATTAATTCTTTTTCTATTGTTAATTTAGAGACCTGATATTAAAGTTATATTAATGAGTGCAACATTAAATGCTGCAGCATTTTCGAAGTATTACAATGACTGCCCATCTTTGAATATACCTGGGTTCACATATCCAGTTGAAGAACTTTACCTTGAAGACATTTATACATTAAATAGGTTTGTTCAAATTTTGTGTGATTGCTAATATTTAATAATTATATTTATTTCTTAAACAATTTCTGCTGACTACAGGTTTAGATATTTTCCTAAAAAACCAACCCAAAGATCTCGCAAAATAAAACCTGGTGATCCATTTACTGAATTTGTAATTCCTTATGTGAAGTAAGTATACATGTAGAATATACATAAATAAGTGTATTATATTGTTGAGAAATAATCAATGTTAATATTCAAAAAATAAAATGTTTTACAGTGAAATGAGAAGATTCAAAAAATATCCTTTAGCAATATTGAATTGGTTGGAAAATCCTATGTCTGAAGATACAGATTATGAATTGATTTTAGAAATCATATATTACATTTGTAATAATAAAGATGATGGAGCTATACTTGTTTTTCTATCTGGATGGGATCAAATATCAAAACTGACAAAAATTTTAAAAGATAAAGGCTTTGGAAATACATGTAAAGTATATTATATAAATGTAGAATTTCATATATTTTTTTATATTTGTTTATACATATTCTTCTTTTTTTGTAGCTCGATATATACTAATTCCTTTGCACTCCATGTTACCAACTGTATCTCAAAAATCTGTTTTTGAATCACCACCTCGAGGTAAGCATTAAATATTAAAATTGTTTAAATACATTTTTGTTTAATGTTTGCATTATAATAGGTGTTCGTAAGATCATATTATCCACAAACATAGCAGAAACCTCAGTTACCATAGATGATGTAGTTTATGTAATTAATAATGGCCGGATGAAGTTAAAAGGATTTGATGCTGAAAATAACATTGGTACCCTCAATGAAGAATGGGTGAGCTTAGCTAACTCTAGACAACGTCGGGGTAGAGCGGGTCGTGTAAGGCCTGGTATTTGTTATCATTTGTATACAAGAGGACGCGAAAGATCATTTAATGATTATGTACTACCTGAGATGATGCGGACAAGCTTGGAAGAAGTAATACTTCAAGCTAAAATATTACAAGTTGGTATGGTAACCCCGTTTTTGGAGAAAGTTATGAATCCACCTGAAACCAAAGCTCTTGAAGTAGCTTTAAAAGTATGTAATGGTTTATTTTACATTAGTTAACATACTTTAAAATATTTATTTTTTAGCTATTGATAGACTTGAATGCTTTGGATGAAAAAGAAAATCTTACTCCATTAGGGTTTCATCTAGCAAAATTGCCAATTGGGCCACTTGAAGGTAAAATGATAATTCTAGGCGCAATGTTTAGTTGCCTGAGTCCAATAATGACAATTGCTGCTAGTTTAAATTTTAAAGATCCTTTTGTTATGCCAGTAAGTAATTTATTAATTATATTATTTGGTATTACCTATACTTACATGCGCTACATATCAAAAATATTTTTAATTATACAGGCAAATAAGGAATACCAATGTCGTGAAATAAAAAAAGATATGGATGAAGGACATCAAAGTGATCACCTTATGGTCACAAGAGCAATGAGTAAATTTTTACTAGCGAAACAAGAGAATAGAGCATGGGAATTTTGTAGAGAAAATTTCCTTATGTATAATACAATGAATATGTTGCATGAATTAAAATCTCAATACGCTAAGTATTTATGTGATCTGGGATTCATTAAAACTTCCAGTTATACCGACTCTGAATACAATCAGAATTCAAACAATGTTAAGCTTTTGAAGTGTGTTCTAGCTGCTGGTTTGTGTCCCAATATTGCTGTTTCTAAGTAAGTAAAAAAAATCAATTAGATAATTTTTTAAAACAGTATGTTATATAAATTTTTTAAGCTAATAATTATTATTTTAAAGCCCCAAAATTAAAACAAATGGCCGTAAATTTTCAAAATTCATTACTGCTGAAGATGGAAAAGTTGAAATTCATCCCAAGTCTGTGAATTCAATTGATAGTTACTATGAGAGTCCTTTATTATTATACCACACAAAACTGAAGACTACTTCAATATTTTTGCACGATACCACTATGATTTATCCATTCCCAGTGGTGCTGTTTGCAAAAAATCTTAAGACGACTGGTGAAAAAACTGATTATGTTACATTTAGTCTTAACCCTCAAATAAATTTCACCTGTTGTGCTAGAACAGCAAATTTTATAAAGGTGATTTTAAAATTTTGAATTATTAATGATTTTGTAGATTTAATGACTATGTGACATTATTGAATTGTATTGGATAAATTAGTTTATTATAATTTTAAATCTATTTTTTAAATATTTTAATTAATTGTTGAGTGATCGATTACATGATTATGTTAGTCCCAATAATTAACTGACTATTTTATCAATAATTTTTATTTGGGTTTTTTAACCACGGACAAATTAATACAATAATTAATTACCTTTTATTTTTATATTTTTTAGCAAGTAAGACATAGATTGAAGTGGTTGATTGACCATTTAATGTCGCATCCTGAAGAAATAAGTTTTAATTCAAATTCAGGCAGTGGAAAAGCGCTCAAGTAAATATTAAAATATTCAACAAATTATATTATATACTTCAATAATTGATAAAAAAAAATGTATTGTCGTTGATGAATAATTAACTATTTATTTAGTTACATACATTTAAATTTAGAAACTGAGTATAAATATATACATACCAAGTGATCCATTTAAGTGTTTACACTCGTTATTTTGAAGAGTTTTAACTTTTTGAAAACATTCTTTGTCTATAATTTTGCTGTCATTTCAGAACAACATATCTGAAATAAAATAATATTTTTATTATTATAGTGTTACAAGTATTTTACTTTTTTAAATACATACACATGAGGTGTATAAACTTCTAAATTAGGACTACAAATCTTTTCAAATGAAATGACAATCGATAGGATATTTTTTGACTCGTATGCATACTTTAGTGATACTGAATTCGAAGATAAATTATTTAATTAAGGAATAAATTATTTTTGTTGTTGGCTAAAAATTATGTTATTTACTTTTTAGCTATAATTTATTAAAAATATATTATTGTTGAAATTTAAAGATAACTCGTTAAAATATTTTTACTATCTTAATTTTTTAATTGTTTTTCATACTTAATTATGGACCCCGATAAAATATTTTAAGCTTTAATTTTTTTATATAGATTTTGATAAATTATGTTTTATTCATTTTTAAATATTTTTTGTATAGTAATTATATATAATAATCACTGATCACTTATCATCATAAATTATTTTTTTCAGACTTGTTGTTGATCTCGTATCTGCAGAAGAACATCCTGGTATATTAGAATTTCCTTTTATGTTTTAAAACTTACTTATCGAACATTTTTTATTTATTGATATTGTACAATTTTTAAAAATAACTTATAATAAATAATTTTTTTTAATTACATAGTTATGTATGTTTTTTAATTAATTACTTATTAAGGGCTCGGTGCCAATGTAATTATTGTCCAAAACCATATTTTATTAAAACCATGTTTGTAGAATCAATAGTATTCTTTTTTTTTATTGGTGTTAAATATTATATATTTAAACATGGATTATGTGATTTTGTCTATAATAATTAAATTAAGATTGGTAAATAAATTGTATGTATACATCTCAATTTGAGAGTATGGCAATTTATACCCTTGTACCATAAATATGTTGTTTGCATGGTGTTAAAACTACAGTGCAACTTGTTTGTCAGGTAGCAATGGTAAGTTATTAAATTATTCCTATTAAAAATCAATAATCATCAGTAGTTAACATAAATAAAAACAACAATACCAATAGATTCATCGATGATGGAATGTTGTAGATATTAATTTCATTGTACAACTAAATTTAATAGCAGTGACTTGAGATACCTGTTAATGTAATTATAATTAATAATTTTACACTACACAATAGGTTCATTTGTTTTTTTTAGTGTTAAATGTGAGTGTTCAGATGATTGTTGTATTATTTTAAATACCTACTCTGAAGTTTGAATATTTTTATTCAAATGTATTATACATTTTTTTCATATATTTATATTGAAATTTTTAAATATAAATTTTTTTCTGTTCAAGTTATGTCTTATATTTTACATTTGTTACTATTTTTTATGTTTATTGCAAATTAACTACCATTTGCTGAAGTTTATAAGTAATCATGCATTACTCTTATCAAACTAAATATTTAGTATTTAGTAGATGAATTTACAACTGTAGTATTTTTTACCACAGTAAATATAACAAAATTCGACTAGGTACCTATCTCATAGATGCAGTATTAACTGAGCTCACAGTGGTGCGCCGTCCAAGATTCCAGCAATTCCAGTTTATCTTTCCATGAACAGCTTCGGCTAGGTTTTCTAACCCTCATATTATCTCTGTTTTGTCTTAAGATGGACTTTTGAAATTTGAAACAAAAGTTTAAGTAGTTTAGGAGGTTGTGAAAATTTGAACCCTTAGCTTAAACCCCTTCAAAAGGAGAACTTCAAAACTTGAAATTTTGTTACTGACTGACCATCACTATAATAAGATAGGTATTTCCCGCGTAGGGAAAAACGTGAAAATAGGCCTCAGACCTCAGTGTAACATGCAGCTTACCTTATTCTCAGTAGCTATGAAAAAAGTTTAATTTGAATTATGGATATTTTGTTTCAATAGGTACATTGAAAGTAAATTAATAAGACAATTTGATGATATAATAACAATGGAAATTAAGTGGGTATAAATAGTTATTACTTAAATTAGTAGGTATAATAAGTTATTAAGTGGGTATATCGTATGTGGTACCTACCTATACTTACGCCTATACCTACACATTGTTTTAAATAATTTACCTTCATGACTGTATTTCCACTTAGGTGTAGGGATTTTATGTATGTCACGTCAAAATCTATCAGTCTATCTATTGAATATCTATATAAGGTAGGTAATAATGGGGAACTTTTATACTTTACCGGACACCCCTGTTTTTTGGACTCAGTCATTTTTTTTAACGAAAATAACGTTGGTGAAATCAGAATTTGAGGCTCGGACTTGACTCGACAATGAGGATTTTGACGATGACAGTGGCCAAGAACAAGACGGATAACTAATGTCTTATGTTAAATTAAAAAAAAAAATGTAAATAAAAACACTTGTGATATGTAGAGTAGAGTGTAGTTGTCCGAAATTAATTATTGTACCTAGTGAAAACGTTTGAAGCAATTAAAAAAAAAATATGACTTGTGATCGTGAATAATTCTAAATGATCAAATGATTATTTTTATAAATGAAATTAATATAAAACTAATAATAATTCAAGTAAGTACGTATAGTAATAACAATAATTAATAAATGTGCACAAATTTGTAATTTAATATTTTAAATTTCAATTTTTCAAATTATTATTATTATTTTAAATTTTCAAATATTTCAAATTGTATATTAATTGTATATATTTTATGCATAAATAAACAATCACAGACGTATATTCCACACTTTTTTTTATAGGGCAATATTTACTTCGTCATCTATTTAAAATAGACTAGTAACTATTATAGTACTATACTATTAATACTTTACTATTTATTAATAATAATATTATGGTTTATCTTAATAATAAAATAAAGCGAGATGTAATTTTATAAGACCGTGATCGTGATTATGAACTACCTATTATTATTTATTATTTATTAATATTATAGCTCTATGTTGCGAAACGTTCCGTAACGTTACTAATCAATATAATACAAGCTATGAATTCTATAAATATTAATATTGGTATAGTAAAGTTAAAAGGTTAATAAGGTACATTATAATATACCTTTTATTTTTATAATAATGTAATAATTAATACCCGGACGTAGTAAACAATAACAATAATACCTAACGATTTAGTAGGTATGTTTTATACCTAATAGTATATTACCTACCTATATATTTATGTGTGAGTGTTGTGTAACGACGTGTTTTGGATAGGATTGCGACTTAAGGCCGCGAGGACGAGACGTATAGTGATAATAATGAATAATGATACTATCATATAAAGTCGTCCATTAAAGTGTGGCGGAAATGGCAAGTGCGTTATTTAGTGCAAACGTACGAGGCCGTGGTGGCGGCGGTGGGCTAATATAATAATACATCGTAATATAATAAATCGTATTTTTTCGTTACATATTAAATTTTATTTACGTCGGTCGCTAGATTAGCTGCAGTATATCTACTATTATTATATGTAAATTTTCAACATTTAGATCATGAGTTTTTTTTTTTAACAGCAATAATAGGTTGTTAAATATTATATATTATTATTGAAACGGACGTTTCGCATAATATCCTAACGTTTTTCTGATATGGCAACACTAAATAATATAATAATATGTACGTTATCCTCGTTCAACGTTCGGATGTAATGAATATAATACTAAGGATTGTAATTTTATACGGAAGTACGGAAAAATTTCAAGGGGTCCAGACTCCATGGACCGAGCCTCCTGGATACGTGCCTGAGCCTGACTGATGCTTATAATAATAAGTTATTAAGTTATGATATAAATAAACTGTGGTCTATCGGCGTTAACAGTTTAACATAGGATTTGGCACCACTGAATTGATCTTAAATCCACTCTAGTAGATAGTAAGTATATTATTCAGATCGTGTCCAATTTACTGATATTAAAATGAACAATAATTAAACAGTGAAAATCGAAAATTAAAAAAAAATAAAAAATAAAATAAAATTATACCACGATATTTTCTGATTGATATTAATTTCAATTCCTATTAGAGAATTCCAATTTATTATTTCTAAAGTATAAGGAATGTGTATTAGTTACAAGAAACGAAAATCAAAGATGAATTAGGTTATGCGTGCCGAACTGATTTACATTAGAGTGTAGAGAGCGCCACATAATGCAAATCTTCTCTAAATTTTATAAAATATCAAAAAACCACTTTCATATCATATTTTACCGTAAAAGGTATAACATTTTATATATATATAATAATATGTGACGCGTTGATCTATTAATGCACATACATATATATAACTTATATTTTAATTAATTTATAAACAAAGTAAGAATAGTTTTGGAAAAAAATTAACTGCAGCGTACAACTGAAATTATATACTTATCACTTACTTATATACCGTTTTTTATGGCCGATCGATAAGAAATTCTGTACCAGAGAACTATCAATTGACTCAATACAATCAAAAATCGATTGAAGGTTATTTTTGTCGGATGTGTCGATATGGCCACACAGAGAGTGCATTTAATATTATAAAAATCTTTTGAACTGCACAAAATACAATATATTTACAACTTATTCAGGCACAGGGAAAAGTTCAAAAATTTATATTTTTTCTGTATACATGTGCCTGACACCTTCAAAGTATTTTTGTAATATTACTATATAGGTATATAATATTAAAGGTGAAGACTGAAGATAAATTAATAAATCACATAATTCAGTTTAGACAATAGCACGCATAACATGGTCATATGATTCTGTTTGAACTATTAATAAATACTCAATAGGCAACAAACAATTATAGTTATCTACATTTATTAAAAAAAATTTTCAATATATTTTAAAGTTCCAAAAAACAATTACATATTTTATATCGACTGTTAATTATTTAGATATAACTTTATACCCCTGCATATTATGATTTATTGTTTAATGTTACAATACGTATCATATAATAATATTGGTATTTATAAATTATAAATAATAATACATTGATGAAATCGATTGCACTAGGTATGTCTGAATTTCAATAGCGATCAATAAAAACGTATAATTTTTAATGTAAACAAATTCGCATGGAAAATTTCAATCCCACTCAATTACATTGATTCGAAGTCTCCCCAACAATATAATCACTACCTGAAAACGCCAGAGCCAGTTCGACGTTTAACGGTGCCGTAATATCTTAAACTTACTGTTGATTATGGTAAATGTTGAGAAAGATACAATAATAATAACACAATTTACAATAATTTTATTTTCGACGAAATATTAATATTAAAGTGATTTCAATGATTGGCTTTCTCACAATGCAGCAGAGTGGAATGAAGTATTACTATATTTGGCAGCGGCACTTCGGTTATAATCATAGATATTTTTCGTTCACATATTGTTGATTAATAACAATATGCCATATCATACAACTCACGTATCCATCCAATGCGGTACTTATATTCCTTATCGGTGTATAAAAAGACGGCAGTTAAAAAAATTAGTAAAACTTCTAATCGATCATTTTGGGGGCGAATTCGTCATCGGGATCTCTCGACATCAAATATTAATAAATCGCTTAATATTAAAATCATTTAATAGTTAATATTAACAATCCATAAAATTTACATACGCTGTAGCGAGTTGTACTTAAATAGCCTATCCGTGACGCCGTGTTATATTATTATCGAGGATGGACATTTTGTGCTCCTGTAGCGATTTAGTGAGCGTAGCTGTCGTCGAATCTTCGATTGAAAGTTATATAACTCGTGAAATCTAGACCTTTAACGA